GATGTCAATGAGATGAAAAATGTTATATTTTGATATAAAATTAATTCATATATATTATCATGTTTGATCCCTATTTTATTGAAAGAATGTATTTTGAAATAGTAAATTAATAGAGAATATGTGGTTAAAAAATAGCAAAATTTTTAATTTGCTTGTAATATTATTTTATTGAAAAATGTTTAATTTAAAAGAAGAGAAAAAAAATGTATTTTGAAAATAAGGGGATCAAACAAGGACATAAGTTTTCAATAAGATTAGAGTAAGGATATGTTTGATTGCAAAGATGGAATTGAATTGTCTAGAAAACGAATTTTATGGAATTGAATTGTCTAGAATTATTTTCTTGAAAATTGTAAATTATTGTGTTTGACTGGTATAATTTTTCACGTGAAAAATGTTGAAATAAAAGTGTTTTTGGAGTTCGTTTGGTTTTGTTTTACATGAAAATTGTCAATTAAAGAGATAGATTTTACTGGTATTGGGGATTAAATTTATTTCCATTGTCAACACAAAAAAAATTAAAAAGATTCAAGAAAATAATCTATCTTTTGATGTTCGTTTGACTTTGTTTTACATGAAAATTGTCATTTAAAGGGAAATATTTTTTTACAATAATTTTTAAAAACCAAGAAAATTTCAAATTTCAAGATAACCTATAATTCGAATTCCATGGAAAAAAATTGTATCAAACACCAAAAATTGAAAAATTCAATTGCAATTCCATCTTTCAATTCCATTTCCACCCTATTCAAACACACCCTAAGTGAATTTTTTCTTGTATTATGATAAGATTAAGGAAAAATTACCAAACTTTTCATTTGTGCCAACCACAATATCAAACATATCAGAAATTGCTTGGAGTCCAAATGTATGATTTTCGTTAGTTTCTATGTTAGTTGATTTTAGGTCAATGATTTGACCAAATGTTGACTAATTGTTAAAGAGCAAAAAGTGGTGTGTGTGTGTGTAATTAAACAGTTAAAAAAAAAAAAAAACCCCATAACCCAAACCTAATCCTTTCTTCTCCATTCCCATACAATCTCCCTTGCCCCAAAGTCACTGCCACCATCACCCAGGTGATCAATCGTCATTGCCGTCTAGATCGTCGGGCACCATCACCACCCACACGATCGACTGCCACTAAAAATTAAAAACTGTTGGGTAATTATCTCAAAAGTCAAAAGTTAGAGGACTTCTATTGCAAATAATAAAATGTAGTTATTGTATGAAAGGCTTCTAATTAAAGTAAAATTTAGTCTCCAATTTACAGACGATTTTGGAGTTTTGCACTTGTTGAGTTAAATGAATCTTGTTTGAGTTTAAATAAAACTCTACTACTTGGTTATTGATCCTATAAATAGTGGATGTATTTCATTATTTTGGATGTGGCAAGAGAGTTGATCCGAGAGAAAAATATTGCGAGCCTAATATTTTGAGATTTTTCGTATAAAGTGTAGAAAAGTAGGTGTGGTAAATTTCGGGTTTATTTTTTTCTTTGTAATACTTGGAGATTGGGTTGGTGAGTAAAATTCTATATGATTGTAACAAATTTTCATGTAGTGAAAGACTTTGACGGTTCATTTAATTTGTGCGTTATATTCTTTATTTTTCCTTGTTTGCTAATATTTTCTTGAACAATAAAAGATTCTACTGGTAAATAGAAATAAAGGGAATTGCGGTACAATTTCCCAACAAAAACAACCACTACTACCCAAAAATTCTAGCCCTTTCTTCCCCATTCCCATACAATCCTCCTTGTCCCAAAGTCGTTGCCATCACCGCCTACGCGATTGACCGCCACTGTCATCCAGGCTATTGGACATCATCGTAACTACCATTGTCACCGAGTGAAGGAAAAATAAGAGTGTGACGAATTTCTTATCTTTAGATATGAAAATCGAAACTGATTTTAAAATCAAGTTTTACTTTGGTTGTTGTGATGGTGTTAGTGGTGGTTCTAGTGATTGAAAGTGTGAGGAACAACGATGGCAGAGGTGGCAGTTCATTGATGGCGATGGTGGTGGAGTTAACGTTCTCTGTACAGCTTGTCCACCTTGTATATTTTCATCCCCAAATTGCAATTTTATATCAAATGTCGAACCTTTGGTAATTATACTTTATGTTAGTATAATTACTCATAAAATCACATGAATTTTATCGACTTTCAAAACCATTTTAAAAAAAAATAAAAGCTATAAACTTAAGTTAAAAATACATATATCATTAATATCTTAAATAAACATAAGTTCAAATTTGCATCACCAAATGTCTTTATATCGGTGTTTGAACCACATTATTTTCATAAAATACATTTTTGAATAAAATATTGATAAAAAAATATGTAATTAAAAAAATTAAATTTACATATTATTTTATAAAATAATATGTGATTAAAATAATATCAAATTACTATTTATTTTTTTCATTTTTAAATATGGGTCATAAATCAACTTATTTGAAGTAACAATACTATAGTGATCGAATTTTTTTGACATAAAAACTGACTGACACTCACAATGAAAAGGAAGCTCACTTTTTTTTTTTTTTTATTCACAGCCCAAGCACTTTGAAAGGATGTCAATTATTATCCGCCTGTTTGGGAATTATTTTAAGAATTGATTTTTTAACCATTAGAAGAAAAGTAAAATCCACATGTGAGACAAAAAGTCAAATATAACAACTGAAATAGTGAAATAACAATTAAAAAATCAATTTTTTTAAGAAAAAAATTACTCACAAACAAGTTGTATATCAAAAAAATCTCTAGCAAAATAAAGCCGATTTGATTATCATTTTTATCAAAATACATTTTTTCTTTCTTTTTTTTAATTATACATTCTTTATTAAAATAACATTACACATACATAAAAAACTTTGCCTTATTTTTAATCCACACATCATCAATCTGCTATTCAAAAATTCATTTTTGAGATAGAGATGTCCTGGTGCAATGGAGGTGGAGGCACCAGAGTTGGCTTGGTGTGGTGGTAGCGATTTTGGAGTGGCATGGGTTTTTGGCCTTTTTTTTTTTTTTAATTATTTGATTTCAGTTATTTTATTATAAAATATGTAAAAGTTACCTTTTTAACATTTTAAAATTAGTTAAAATTATTGTCAATGTCAATTATTTGATCAAATAACGATCAAACTAACAATTTTTATCCATTTGAACTCCAAGCGAGATTTCTAAAAGGTTTAGTATCGTGGGTGACATAAATAAAATGTTTAGGTCAAGATTGCTATTAAATGAAAGGTTTTGGTATCGTGGCTGCAATTTTTCCTAAGGGCGTGTTTGATTATAAACATGAAATTTACATGAAAAGAAAATAAATACTAGGTAATTGAATTATCTATAAATTATTTACATTAAAATTGTCCATTAAATGTTTTTAATTGATTTTTTTTTTTCAACATAAAAATGCTATATTTGTCCATTTTTTATTAGTAAGTAAATAGGAGAGAGATGAAGTAGATGAGTGAGAAAAAGAGAGTGAATAATATGAAAAATAAAAATCTACTCCCTTTAAATAAAATATTTTCCTTGTTTCAAGGAAAATATAGTTATGTGACCAAAAATAAAAAAATATTTTTCACAGAAAAAAATCAAGCAAACAACACAAAAGTAAGAATTTGGGTCGAAAAATGACATTCCCCATAAAAAATGTTGACAATCAAACGCACTATAAAATTAGTTAGTTATTAATAGTTATCTCATCAATTAATATATAAGTGAGCAATTTCTTTATGTTATACTCGTTCTTGAAGTAGGAACTGATCAATTTATTCCTGAATAGCTTATTTCAAAAGGACTTCTGCTTCCTCGATAAACATCTTAGTAAAAGATATGATTTCTTAGATTAGATGGATATTGAGGAAGATTAGACTTTTTTTTTTTTTTTTTTTTTTTTTTTTTTTTTTTTTATCTCTCTTGACTTTTCAAAGAAGATGTAACACGGATTCCTAATTCTCAATGATATTCTATAATCAAGGGAATTCTGTGAAACCATTTCGTATAAGTTTATCGAGATCAAATCTTCAGCATTTAGATGCTTAGCACAGTTTATTACGCTGAAATAGTTATCTCATAATTTTATATTATTATTATCATTATCATCATCAAAAACTTGATATATATATATATATATATATAGTCATTTAAACTAAAATATATTAGTTAGTTTAAATTAAAAATTGCAAAAATTTATTAAAAAAATTGTAATTTATGCTAAAATGCAATTGATGCATGTGAAATAAATAAATATTATTTAGAAGAAATTTTTTCAATCTCTGCACAGGTACACGTGTTTCAAATTTACGGTCCCAGGAGTCTCGTTTCGTCCGGTAACTAGACAATCTCTACCGCTAGAGTCTCTCTAAAATCTGTTATTATATTTGAGTTTGTATACTCCTAGAAATTGCAGAATTCTGAAGAGCTCGAAGAGGGGACCTAGACTAATGCCTAATGGCTTCACTGAGTGAGTATCAGAACACATTATAGATTCTTGAATCAATTCATCGTTCTTGTAATTTATATATGCGTGTTTTAGTGATTTTTCCTTTTGATGTTTTTGAGTGATCAATTTTGTGTATTCTGGGTGATTTGTTTCTATACGCTGGCATCTATTTCAAACAGTTTGAACGTTGAGAAGGTTGGTTGATTTTGTTACAACAATGCGGTCAAAGGTCTAGAAAAACCTTTCCGAGAACACCCATGTGTGCAAGTGGGTGGGCGTAAAACCGGAATTTAATTACATTCTATCTGTGGTAGTCGAATCTAAATAGAGGATAATCATTAAACTTCATTTATTCATCTGATTCTTAAATGAATCTCACCTGGTATTTGGCTCATAATTGTTACAACTGCTAATGCTGATTTTTAGTTTTAAGGTTATTGTTTCCTAGATAGTAAGTACTGCAAATGCTGGTAAATGTAAAGTAATATGTTGGTATGTAATGCATTCATCAATGCCCAAACATTTATCTTTTTGGTAATGCACTTGACAGGTATTGTTGTCCCTTTCATTTTTCTGCTGCTTGTCAATTGGTGCTTCGCAAGACCTCTATACCCACTCCCTAGCAGGAGAAACGATAGAAATAGACGGCCCCTGCAAACATTTCGCCCATATAACGTTGCTCATCGGGGTTCGAATGGAGAAATTCCTGAAGAAAGTGCTGCATCATACATGGTATGTTTATGCCATGGCTAATCTCTTAATCTGAATACATCTTATTACTACCAAATATTTGTTCCGAAATTTTATGCTTTAAGAAACAACCAGATTTGCATATGTTGCTGTTTGGAATATTATTTCACAAAACGGCCTAAACACCATGGTTTATCAACAGTTAATACATGTTTGGACAGTTATATAGAAAGGTAAAATGCACAAATGAAATAGTAAAAAAAAATTATAAATTAAATTCAGAGTGGCTCAAAGTTAAGTATTTCAAAGTAATAAACTTGATACCAAGATGGAAAATGAAGTAGTTCTTTCCATTCATAGCTTTGTGGTCAATATGTACATGAACATTGATATTCTTGCAGAAAGCTATTGAAGAAGGTGCTGATTTTATAGAAGCAGATATTTTGGCCACCAAAGATGGTGTTCTTATATGCTCACACGACGTGAACCTTGATGACACTACTGACATACATGATCACAAAGAGTTTGCTGACAGAAAGAGAACCTATGAGGTTCAAGCGGTCAACATTACTGGCTACTTCTCTGGTATGGACAATGGGTAAATGTAATTGATTGTGGTGTTTGTGTTAACTGGACAGTTTTCATTTAAACCATCCGTTCATGTTTGCTAGCAGTAATTTAAATTTTGTTCTGCGACTCGTTATTTTGCTGCTCTACTCATCTAAAGTCTAAATGTGTATGTGTGCATTGAGTTTGGGTATTCAGCATTATGTAAAATAATATCTCATTCCTTCTCTAAATTATCGATTTTCTCCACGACTATAATACTACTAAAGCTATTGGTAAATTTGTTCTGTTATCCCATGCAGTTGACTTCACACTAGAAGAGCTAAAGTCATTGCGCTTGAAGCAGAGATACCCTTTCCGGGACCAGCAATATAATGGTCAGACTCTGCAACTGTTGCTTCTCTTACTGATGAATTTACCTACCAAGTTGACACGTGTAATCCTATGTACTATAATTTTGGCTAATATCTTGTAATTTGGGTTGTCATCTTAAGACAGATTGACTTGAATTAAAGAGAGAAACGCCTACCCAATTTGATTTCTATAACGCTTTTTCACTTATTATGTATGTTGCTTTTCTGGATATCCCTATCGGATATTCCATCAGTGAAAACTTCTTTTTGAGCACATTAATCAGACTAATATGTCCATAAAAGATACATAAGAACTTCTGTCAAGTGAATTACTGCTTGTCTGGATAAATTTATAATGAAAAAAAGTAGTGGGTCCCATGAAATATGTGGATAATAAGTGGGTTGTTAATGTTTGACTTCAAATTATGATGAGATTATAATTTTATCCAAACAATCACTTGAGCAAGTTGACTGGTAGATTGCTCAAGTTTTTCTTCAAATATAGAATGTTAGAAGCTCTGAAAGCATATATTTTGTCGGTCGGAAGGCACGTTTGAAGCAAATTGTCAAAATTTCCATGATTATTTTCTGATTGAGTTATGAAATCTTTCAATCCTTCTATTAAAAATTTTTAGTCCCTACATATTTCCGCCACGAGCTCTCTTCCAGCGTATATACCATTCAAGAAGTGCTTGAGTTTGGCATTTTACCAGGAAAATCTTGATCTTTAGTTGAACTGAACCCTATCTACCCTCTCGTTCTCTAACTACACTGAATCAGTTAATGTACTTGATTTGATAGGATGAATTCCCATTTCACTTCAATTCTCATCTGCTGATTTTAGAATTTTGCATACTTGAAACAGCATTGATTTAATCAAAGAAGGTCAGTGGTGCAGAGTCTTGTACGTCTGAACTTTGAGCCGTTTAAATTGCTATATTTTGCAGAAGATTAATGCTATTTGTGAAAAATTACAAAAATGGCAGAGATCCTTTCTATTGCACTTCGGGGAAATCTAGATGTCAACACAATCTGAGTTTGGAATGCACCCAGAGAACATTCTTGTTTGCAGGAAGAAATAATCTGGAGATTCCTAATGTGTACATATGGAAAATGATGGTAACTTTTGGTGTTTAATTCAAACTCCTGAGAACCTTTTCAAAAAATGAGGTTAGAAGATCGAGGGTAGAGTGAAACCTGTTGTAGTTGCTTTGGATCTTCTATTGAAGTAGCAATGACCTGAACTGAGTGGCAAAAACAGATTCATATGGGTGACCCCAAATTTATTCGGGATAAAGACAAGTTTATTGTTGTCATTGTCGCATGTTTCACACTTTAACTCTTACATTACATTCAACTGGGTTGAGCTGGGTTTGTAATAGTTTCTGTAAAGTTTCTTGGAGCCTTGAAATCGAAATTACAACCTGACCTCTCCATAGATTGAGTTTGAAAAAGATGATTTTTCTCTTCTTGCATTTCTCAAGTCATTATGCACTACATGTAACTGTAATTGTAGTTCCTTTGTGTTTGCATAAAACATATGAAAGATTATACGGGTAAATTTATTTTTATCATTTTGCACAGGAATGTATTCTATTATTACTTTTGAAGAGTTCATTTCAATTGCATTGGATGCCCCCAGAGTTGTTGGAATATATCCAGAGATTAAAAATCCAGTATTCATCAACCAACGCGTAAGATGCTTTTCCTATTTTTCTTAAGCTTGCTCTAAAGAACTATTTTCCTCCCAAAATGATATTTGGATGAGTGACTTATTTTTGGATAAAATATTTGCTACTTGATGTACATTCATATTGGTTCTTCTACAGGTAAAATGGCCAGGTGGTAAGAAATATGAGGACAAGTTTGTGGAGACACTCAAGAAATATGGATACAGAGGTTCTTATATGTCAAAGGAGTGGTTGAAACAGCCTGCTTTTATTCAGTCGTTCGCCCCTACATCTCTTATCTACATATCAAACCAAACAAACATACCCAAGGTTTTCCTAATTGATGATGTTAATATCCCAACCCAGGACACAAATCAGGTTTCTCACTTTTTTCCTCATGACAAATCTCTGTGAAAATTTATTAAAATGCTATTAGCCAGAAATAAAATCATAAATATAAGTCAAATGATATGCCCAACCAGCTTTAGAATCATAAGTATACAAGTTGTTAAAGAAAAGGAAAAACTCTAACTAGCAGATTTTGAAAATGGGCAAGTGTGGGAGATAGTCAATAACTAGAGATTGAAATAAGAGCGTCTTTTTTTATCAGGTCAGTTGATTACTAAAAGCTTTGTTTAATTTTGGGTTAGTTGGAAAAATTAATTTATTTCTGTTTTTAATTTTGCTGCATTAATTTTCTTTTCATGGACTTCTTGTTATTAACTGGAACAATCTGATTTCGACTTGCTAACTTTTTACTTTCTGTTGCCATTGCATCCAAAACCACTCCTTAATTCTAGTTTTATGAAGACATTATAACCTAGATGAACTCTGCTCTCCGATCAGTCACCTTATATACATTAAGAATTATAAGATGGTTTTAAGTCTTTTTTGTTGATGAGACTAATTTTACAGTGATCAGCTGGTTCAGCTGATGTCAAAGTATTATATGCGTGTCACTGAAAATCTTTAAATATGATATAACCTTAAGTATTCAAGTTTTTGATCATTTGTAAATTTTAAATGCTCTGATACTAATCTTTATGTGAATTTTTCAGTCATATCAGGAGATAACGTCAGACAAATATCTTGACTTCATCAAGGAATATGTTGTGGGGATTGGGCCATGGAAAGATAACTTGGTTCCTGTATCGGGAAATTATTTAGAAACGCCTTCAGATCTTGTGGCAAGAGCACATGTCCGTAACCTTCAGGTATGCTTCATTGCTAGACTAGCTTTTCAATAGAGATTACACTAGGTACTGGGCTGCCTGAAGATTCTTTTCTGAAGATATTGTACGGTTATGCTTAATTAAGCATCTAAGTATCATTGTAGTTTGGAACTATTGGCATGAGGATGTGCTACTGTTTGAACACCAAGTGACAAACTGAATCTACTTGTCCTTTATATTTCTAGATTTTAAAATATGGGGGTTTCACTAAGAAGTCAATATCTTCACATAACATAAATAGCTGACTTTTGCTCTTTGCACCACTTTGCATATCTTATTGACGTAAGCCCCTAATTACAATTTCTTGAAATTTTGTGATGGCATGAGGAGAAGCATCATTTACATTATTCGATGAGGGGCTAGTCTAAGAAGAATTTTTACCATAGTTTTTAGATTATCATGGATATGTGGGAAGGTGAGATGAGTAAGATTAAACTAGAGTAGTCCTAGAAAATTTTCTCCTAAAATAGATCTAGGTTTCAGCCTATATTGTATCTTCTTATTTAGTCATGAATGACATTACGAGGCATATCCAAGATGTGATCTTGGTTTATTAGTTAGAACTTTTGAAAATGGTTTTGGATTCTAAAGGTTTGAAATCTAATACATGGAACGTCTTTCTACAGATAGCATTAATGAAGAAAAATATTGGAAGCTAAATAGAGGATTGTGTTTTTTCATAGTGGTTTGAATTTTAGGTTCTTGGATTCAAATATAATTAAGAAATATTCGAATAGAATGTGAATCAGATGATGACAAAATGAAGAAGTGATATGGGAATTTTATGTTACTGTTAATGAAAGAATAAAGCCATTTTTTATTTTTAATCAAAACACCATCGAAGCCCTGGATTTTTAGGTCTCCACCTAGCCCCAGTGGGGTGTTAGGGATTCTGCTTAAGTCCTTATCTTCTATCATTAGTCATGCACGCATAGCCTATCAAATAATAAAATATAACACCTCATATTGAATATTTGTGTTTGAGAAAAATATCGATGCAATGCAAGCATATTATTTACTGATCGCATAGCCTTTGTAGATGAGACTAGGAGGGCCAACCCACTAGTTTGAGGTCGGATCAAAATTTTAGGTTCAATAAACTAAGTTGGAGCATATTGATTGTAGGAGCAGTGATCATAGTAGAATTAGTATAGAGGATCATGTTGACTGTAGGAGTAATTGTTCTACATGCACGCAGAAGATTTGAAGAGTATGTAATGCAGAGTAAATGTTAAAATGGTTTGATAGCGATATCTCATCAGTTAAAAATGCATTATATAAACATTTTATGCGTTAAGATTTTGAGCGTATAAAATTTTACAGATAAGGGATCTTGTCGTGTTTTTCCCCAAAATTCGTCGTTTTACTGGATTTTCTCCCAGAAAAATTAGCGAATTTTTCTTTTATATGCTTAATGTTAGAAACCGTATGCATCCTCTGTATAACTACGCTTTGGTTCATTCCCTATTCATCATGATATTTTACGAGTTGTTATGTTCTTTTATTTCATTCTGAATGAATATGCAAGGATTTTCAATTATCCCGGTGTTTCATTTCAGGTGCATCCATACACTTTCCGGAATGAGAACCAGTTCTTGCACTTCAACTTCAGTGAAGATCCATATAAAGAATATGATTACTGGATAAACAAAGTCGGGGTTGATGGTCTTTTTACAGACTTCGCGGGCAGCCTTCACCAGTTTCAAGAATGGACTAACCCATTATCGTCTGGAGAAGAAGATGCACACAAACTACTTGACAGAATTGCATCAATGATTTCAAAGTTCAAACATGCTTAGCAGAGTTGTTCTTTCGACTCATCCAGTTGTTTAAGACAGTAGAAGGCGTGAGCTTGTTCTTTACCTTTTCTTATTAATTAAAATCAGGTTAATTAGAGGGGAGTAACAAGAGATGAGATTGCAGTAGTTTCTTCAGATGTGCAGTTTGAACTAAGTACATTACTCTCCTGATTTATTTGTTTTTTTGCATATATCTATTGAGTAAATTAGGCCTTGATTTTAAGATGTACATTCGGAAAAAAATAAAAATTGAATCTTGATTTGTTCCATTTATTTCTTTGAACTATCCACCGACCATACTCCATTTCTTACCAGTGTCAATATTGTATTCATGAACATGCACAAACCCTTTGATCCATACTCCCATTTATTTCCCTAAATTATTCTACCCAAGTCAATCAAATTTATTCATTTGAACAGCTGATTACATCATCCTTATTTGTAGCCCTTCGTTTAACCGCACTTCATACTATTCCCTCGACAAATCCTTCTTAAGGCGTGACGTATAGCCATAATCGAAATTGGATGCTATCATACTTATATCAACTATACGGTGACATTTACTGTGAAAAAAAATTGAAATATGCAATCGATGACAATTATTTATTTCTTTTCTTTCAACTCGAGGGAAAAAAATTTGCATTGTAGGCTAGCGATTTTTGTTGAAAAAATGTCACTAATGGGAAGAACCGAACCAAACCAAATCAAAATGCTTCATGTTCAATTTCAATAATCACAGGGAAAGAGTGGTCTCATTTACGAAACAAACTCGAAGTGTACCGGAAAACTGGAGTAATAAAAACCTGTACCCCCAAAACAGAAAAGATGTAACCGTGAAATCTAAACCATGCAGAAATTCCAAATACAATCCACTTCATAATATGAAGCCCCTAATGCCAAGAAAGGTAAAATCTAACATAAAGAGCACTTTGCAGTCTTCAGTAACATGGAATTGAAAGACTAAGCGAGCTCATGAAATTTTACTGCCAATATTACCATATTTTGACCATTAGGATCAAAACACGGCAAGTTTCCTCAGGATCAAGTAACCCATCGCATAAGAGAAGTAAATGTCAACATCAAATTTAAAAGCAGAAACAACAGGCTGTCAAACAATTCAGCTAATATTTTAGTAAAAATGGTCTGCTAGATGTAAACTTCACATAACAAAACAAATGAAAGATATTTCAGTTTCCTTGAAAGCATGCCTAGAAAAGAGAAGTTCCCTTTCCTTTCTTGTCTCCACCAATCTCAAAATGCTTGCACCTCTGCAAGACCAATGATGATAATACAAATATTAAGTATTCCGTGCTGATAGATGATAATATAAGATAAAAATCTAAAAAACCAACCTTAATTGGATGCTGGGATACATGCTTGCAGCCCTGGCATTGCAACCTCAGTACAATCTTCTTTGTTGTTTTTGCCTGTTGCATAAGGACAAGAATAAGACATTAGTTTACTCAAAATTTGGACCAAATCTCAAATAGTAAAATAACAAAAAGACATGAATAAGTTTTACAAAACCTCTTTATTTGTTATTATCTTTTCTTATTTAAACCGTGTTGCTGATGGTAATTTTAGCCTCCACGCTAGTGATTTCCGGAGTAATCAAGATGATAGGTATGTAATCATTATTTACCTTCTTGTGGAAGACAGGCTTGGTCTGTCCACCATAACCTGACTGCTTGCGGTCATAACGACGTTTCCCCTGAGCCGCTAAGCTATCTTTTCCCTTCTTGTACTGTGTAACCTTATGCAATGTATGCTTTCTGCACTCCTTTGATTTGCAGTAGGTTTTCTTCGTCTTTGGAACGTTCACCTGCAAACACCAGTTCAGAATTAACAACTTAAGATGCCAAAAACATGAAACAACGTGTCAGCTGAAAACTTAATGATCAGAAGAGATACTGAAATGTGGAAAAAGCCAAGCGACATGCAGCATAACGATTAACAAATAACTACAAAACAATTAGGAGCTAAATAATCTATAATGTATTACAAAAAATGCAAAGTTACCTAAAATCTTTAAGACAATTTCAGGGCGGCCATCTACAATATACTGGTAAACAGGTTTGACCGGACAAGAGGCAAGTTAAGGGATGCTTAAAACATGGAAACTAGTAATTTGAGGAAAAAGCCACAAGGTAATCTGGAAATATCTTTTGCAGGTTGACAAGAATTCTAGATATGAGGTCATGAACAAATGATTGTGGTTTGAAGAGGCAGCCTCACATCCAGTTAGCGCAAGTAATTAAATTATGGCACCGGACAGCACAAGAAAATACCACCCTGGCTGATAATTATGAACTTGCTAATTTGTTCTAAATTCATCAAAAATTGACAGTGGACATATTCACAAGGACAACAATTGAACTCCCATAGGATAAACAAGCACGATTGAATCTAAATTCCATAACAAACTTTGAATGTGAGGAGTTGAATATAAGTACCACAGTACAAACATGCTGTCTGTGAAGGGTCGAGTATCAACAAAATAGCATAAAAGAACAAGAAGCTCGGTAGCAAGACACCACAATTGGCGAATATCCATTCAGAAATTTAGGAAAAAAATTCGTATAGTTCATTCCGTTCACAGCGTTCTCAAGAAAGTTGCCTTTTCTTTTTCTCAAAGTTTTTCCATGCTACAAAGAAAGCAAAATGAGCCACTTCCATTCGCACCGGCTACACAGTGAAAACTAATTCCACTCAACTAAGATTTTTTACTTCAAATTTCCCTCGTATTGCAATATGCATTAACACATAATAGCACGAACACGCTATTACTATGTAGCCCACCTAATCATATTTCATATCTTCGTAGCAAATCAACAAATCGAACCAGTCATCAAAACAAACTAAAACAGGAAATGGGTAATATAACGGTGGAAGAAAGCATAAGAAGGTTAAAATTACCATTGTTGCGGCGGAGAGCGACCGATTAAGTATTAACAGAAATCCGAAAAATGCCCTGTTGGAAACCCTAGCTTTGGAAAGCCGCTGTTATTTATAACGAGATTTGCAAAACAAAATGACGGTTGTGTATATGGGCCAGTATACAAAATGAGGACGTAGGTTTTAGACAATTTACACAAATAGCATTTTTTAGTTTCATAAGGCGATATTCTTAAGACTATGCCCTTGCATGTCTATTATTCTTCAAAAACTTATAT